TTGATGGGTAGGTCGATGCCCAGACGCTCACGCAATAAAATAAGTATGGTTAGATAAGGCTAAAATAAAGCATCCGTAAGGAGGAATTATTAAGGCAAAAACTTGATTATAAATTATACCTATGGCTTTAGTCACTTTCCGAGCAACGTTATGTAGATGTGATTTCCATGTTAATTGTTCATCCAAAATTACACCAAGAAAAGTATTTTCCTTAACGCTATCAATCGAATAATTACTAATATTAAAAGCTAGATCAAGTGTTTGCCTGTTTTGTCTCGGTCTGAATATGATAAAATTAGATTTCTTAACATTAATAGATAGCTTATTTGTATAAAACCAACACATTACATAGATCATTTATATATACTAAGAATAACAGGGGACCTAAGATAGATCCCTGAGGGACTCCGCAAGTGATATCTAATGACGAAGAGTTGTATCCATTATGTTGCACAAATTGTTTTCGACAAGAAAGATAACTTTTAAACCATTGTCAAGCAATACCACATACTCCATAATGTTCTAATTTGTCCAGCAAAATTTCATGATTTACTGTATCAAAGGCCTTAGATAGGTCAATAAATAGGCCTAAAGTTGCCCTTTTATTAGTAGTAGAATAATTTTTTCTGGATCCATACTGATTCCGGGAAAGAATATATTTATTTTAAAAATTAATAAGGCGATAATAGACGATTCTCTCTAGGAATTTAGAGAAAACTGGTAACACTCATACGGGTCTGTAATTTGTGAACAAAGATTTATCACCAGATGTAAACAATGGAATAACTCGTGCAATTTTCATTTCTTGGGGTACAACTCCAGAATTAAGAGACAAGTTAATTATATACGTCAATGGTGCGCAGATTAAGTTAAAAGACTCTTTAACAACATTCATTGAAATACTATCATATCCTGGAGCATTACTGGATCGAAAGCTGCTACAAATCTCAGTGACTTCTTGTTCTGATGCCAGTTGTAGAAAAAATGAATTAATAAAGCCTCCATTCAGCAAAGAACGATGAGATTTGTCAGACACCGGAATTGATTTAAGTTAGGTCCAATATTCGTAAAATACTCACAAAAACGGTTTGCTATATGAGTAGGATTAAATATTTCTTCTTCATTAGATTTGAATGTGGGAGGCAACTTACACTTAATTTTCTTCTTGTTAATAAGATCATTAGGTAATTTCCAAGTTGATTTTGCATTTGATTTATATTCATCTAACTTTTTATTGTAGTAGAGACGTTTAGCAACGCGAAGGGAATGTGTCATATAAGGGAATGTGTTTTACAACTCTTGTAAAGCTTCTCACGGTATGAAGTTGGGTTAGCAAGGAAATACTAGTGTAATAAATTCTTTTTCTTACCGATTTAAGAAGACCTTTAGTTATCCATGGTTTGCTCAAAGTAACATTCTTTACTTTCACTTTTTTGAAAAGAAAGCAGTCATCGTAAATGGTAGTGTATTTATGGAGAAAACACCGATAAGCGCAATCAGTATCTGTTCGGGACAAATCTAATTTAAAAATCGAACATGAAAATTATCCGAAAACTGTTAGGTTTTTTTGATAGGGACCTGAGCACTGGTCACGTGACTTGTTTTTCCATGTGACTAGTTTGTTGATCTGTGATAGTTGTTGCATTGTTTGTATGGTAGAGAGAGCACAGAACTTGTAAGTATTTGGTTCGTTTTTCAGTTCTATTTTGCTCTCTACCTACATGTTTTGTATTTTTGTTTTAGTTTTCACCGTTTGAGTCGAAGAAATCTGTGCTTATCCCCAACAGTATCTTTACATTCAGATAATTCATCCCAATGAACGTTTGCAAGCCTATCTTTAAACTTAGCAACATTATTTCCACTTTTGTCGCAAAAAGAAAGCCAAGAAGTTTTATTTAAGTTCTTGTTTTGATCAAGAACCAGTGTAAAAATCGGAAGATGATCAGATATATCACAAAACATTAGCCCTCTAACAGATAAGTTGTTTAAATTATTCGTGAAAATATTATCAATTAGCGTAGCCGTGTTAGGAGTTATTCATGTCGGACATGTGATCAATGGAAAAAACATTCTTGAATACATAGTTTCCAACAATTCTCCATTTGTGTCGTGACAATGGTGGTTGATCAAGTCTAGATTCCAGTCACCTAAAACATAGCAAATCTTGTTTTCCTTAGAGATACTTGCAAGCAACGAATCCAGGCTATTCATAAAATCTTGCAAATTTTGATTTGTGGCCTGTAAACCACACCTACAATTATATTTTTCCCTTTTGGCCTATTGATTTCCACAAACAAAGACTCAGCACGTTCAGTGCAAGAAAAAACTAAGTCAGGTCGACATTTAAATTCAAAATTGTCCGCTAAA